ATATCACATAAATCTCTCAATGTGTACAAGCCTTCTCTGACATTTTTGTTCTGAGAGGAAAATATGGCACAAGGAGCTGAACATTTATCCACCAGAGCCAGTACCTCAGGGACAAAAGGGCCGACGAGGGTGGGATTCGAACCCACGCGTGCTGAGCGCAATGGATTAGCAGTCCATCACCTTCACCACTCAGCCACCTCGTCCAGGGTAGGGCCCCCACTGCCGTCCCTGGGTGGGCTCGAACCACCATCCTTCTGGTTAACAGCCAGACGCGCTAACCTATTGCGCCACAGAGACCCTGGTGGCGGTGTCCTCCCTCTGCCTCCCATTGGCTTGAGGCTTCATGGATAGAGTGAATCTGTGGACAATGGCCTGATAAGCCCTCCCAACTCCCTTGCCCCTTATCCAGCAGAGTGGTGCAGCGGGAGCGTGCTGGGCCCATAACCCAGAGGTCGATGGATCGAAACCATCCTCTGCTAGCCGGCTGATGCCTTTTCTCTTTTCATTCTGATGCTGGGTTAAATAATCGTCTCCCACTACTGGATGGTCGCCTTTACACTAAAAGATTCTCAGGACTGGCTGTGCCAAGACTTTCCCTGGATGGGAATCGAACCCATGTCATGGCAGTGAGAGCGCGGAATCCTAACCACTAGACCACCAGGGAGGAGGCAAGAGAGAGAGTGCAGAATCCCTGGTTCCCAGGAAACCTTCTATCAGTGGCTGCACACATCAACTGCACCAGTGGTGAAGAGGCAGCATGCGAGCTTTCCAAGCTTGTGACCTGGGTTCGAGTCCCAGCTGGTGCACACCCTCCTCGGCCTTTCCTGTTCCTGAGATTTAAACTGCAACAGTACATCCACTCCAAAAAAGACTCCCACCTATGAACCTCCACAATAGCTACTGTGCAGTGGAGTTTAAGAAAAGAAGCAGATCCAAGGTAATAGTTTGATTGCATTGACTGCATGCCTGCGGCACGCAGGAACCCTTACAGCAATCTTCCCACTATGAGGAGTGCATCGTTAAGATGAGGACAACATAATGGCTCATTGGCTCATTTCACCCTCCAAATAAATAGTTTATTCCATGCCTACCATGTTGTGGAATTCAAGAAAAGAAGCAGAGGCAAGTAAGTGTTTGGATTGCTGTGGCTGCCTGCAGAAGTGGAAGGGGCAGGTAGAGGTGGCACCACCCCACAGCCTGCAGTGGGTACTGGGGGGCTCCAACAGACTAAGTACCCATCTCGTGCAAATCCATCTCTGCTCGGGCATGAAGGCCACACCTTGATTTATGCAAACCTGGCAGAGTTTTTCAGGTGTGGGAGATATTTCACAAGGAGTTTCTACCTTACCCAACTCTGACCAGTCCACCTGGCTAATCCCTTTTCCAACTCTCTGGTCCCTTTCCTGGGCTACCCTTAAGCCCAAAACGTAGGAGCCAAACTGATTCCATGGTAAAAGAAAGAATCATATATTTTATTTGACGATGCTGATTGGTTCCGTGGCACATTTATTAGTCACGCAGTTCCTTGTGTGTTAAAGAACCAACTTTCTAACTTTAACACATTCTCTCTTAACAAGGTAACTACGATAGGCAGTTCTCTTTTGGAGACCCACACCACTATGCTGGGAAACTCTCGATCGACCTGCCTCCATCCCTCTGGCCGTTCCCTCTCTCAACTGCCCGACTCTCCTTTTCAGGACTCCTTTTTTTTCCTTCCCCTGAAACCACCTGGCGAGTTCTGATTGGCTCAGACCCAGCCAATCCACTTCTCCCTGCTAACACCAAGGGAGGATGCCGGTCACATGACCCCCAGTACGTTCCCTCAGGTGAGGAAGGATTGGAAGCCAGGTCTCCTGCCTCACAATCTGACACTCTGTGCCCCACATCACCATGGACTTCAGAGGAACCAAGGAGAATTGGGGGGGGAGGGTACCCCTCGTCCCTGGAAAGGAATTGGACCTGAGCCATAGGCAGTGAAAGGGCCAACTCCTGACCACTAGACCACCTGGGAGAAGGACCAGGAAGAGGCTAGCAAGACACCTTATCTCAGTAAACCAGTCAAAGGTGCCCAGTCAGCAGATGCTGCACAGACAGGATGTTGGTCCTCCTGGCTGGCAAAGGGATCCCTGAACCAAAACTGGGCCAAGTGGCAAAAAGTGGTCATAATCTGACCTGTGTAGCAAATCAGAACCACTGAAAGCTGCCCCAGATCTTGATCCCAGATCTCACTGTTTTTTTGTTCCTTTGTAAATTTCTATCGCACAGAAGAACCTCTCACAGCAATCCTTCAGTGTTACAGGGCGATGAGGGATGCGTTGTTAAGATGAGGACAAAATTAGGCCCCACTGTCTGATTTGACCCTCCAAAACATGGGTCAGCAAGGGACACAAACTCATTCTCCACCAATCTGAGAGAGTGGTGTTGCCAGAGGGTGCTGATCCCATAACTTACAGGGGCCATTGATTGCAACCACCTTCTGAGGCCTACAGGGAGAAAGGGGCAATTCTTTGCTTTTGGTAACTACCCTTTTGGCTAAGGACTGCAAGCCTCTGCTTCTGTCTTCCTGCCTCCCTCATAGCTCCTGGTGCTTGCAGTTCCTTCCTTTCCCAAAAGGTTCAGCACTGTGAAGGTCGGCTAGATCTCACATGAAATTCTCTATGTATGCAGAGTTTCCTTCATCTTTTTTCTTCTGAGCTGTATAGATGGCACAAGGAGCTGAATGTTTATCCACCAGAGCCAATATCCCAGAGGCAAAAGGGCCGACGAGGGTGGGATTCGAACCCACGCGTGCTGAGCACAATGGATTAGCAGTCCATCACCTTCACCACTCGGCCACCTCGTCCAGGGTGGGCCCCTCCACCGCCGTCCCTGGGTGGGCTCGAACCACCATCCTTCTGGTTAACAGCCAGACGCGCTAACCTATTGCGCCACAGAGACCCTGGTGGTGGTGGTGGTGCCCTCCCTCTATCTCCCTTTGTTCTGATGTTTAATGGATAGAGTGAATCTGTGGCCAATGGCCTGACAAGCCCTCCCAGCTCCCTTGCCTCTTATCCAGCAGAGTGGCGCAGCGGGAGCGTGCTGGGCCCATAACCCAGAGGTCGATGGATCGAAACCATCCTCTGCTAGGCGGTTGGTGCCTTTTCTCTTTTCCATCTGAGGCTGGATTATACAATAAAATGTCCTCCCTCCACTGGATGGTTGGCTTTAGACCCAAAGATTCTTAATTTACCATTGATTGCTTCTCTCTGCCAGCAGGCTCAGGACTGTTTGTGCTCCAAGCTGAAAGGAATGGTTCCTGGCCAGGCAGCCCTGTGGCTGAATTTCTTGTGGGAGGCCAAAGCCTCAGTCCCTGTGAAGTGAGGACGATCCTTGAGATTTCGGTGTTACTCCAAATGCACCAGGTGTGCAGTTTTTGGAACTGATGGGCTACATCTCCCGGGAATCTTCAGGAATTCCTCCCGCTAGATCTCTGACAGATGAAGCCTTAAGAGGTGTGTGACCAGCCCCTAGCCAGTCTTGATCCATTTTAAAAATAGCTCTCCTTAAAAATTTTTGACATTAGCCATTAACCCACCTAGAGAGGTTACAGAATGAAAAACGATATTGTCTTTATTGCAAAGGAAGAACTTCGGAAACAGGTGTTGATTTCTGTTCTTCTTCAGTTACATCCGAACAGCCCAAGGATACACCCTCTTTTTCTTCTGTCACACGTTTTTGGTCATCACCTTCCAGCCTCCAGCCCCTCCTCCATCAGCATCAGGATAGGCCGGCCACATGCACCACCCAAACAATCACCTTTCTTCCCTGTCACCAAGCTGATTGGTCAGGGTTCTTGCTACAAGTTTTTTTAGCATCCCTCAGCTACTCAATTGAGTGTCCTGGAGCCATATTTCCCCCTCTGAAGGAAGGAGGGGTCGTGGGTTGGAAGCACTACGCTCTGAGGGGGAAGGAAGGGATTATTGGTGTGGTTGTCTCCACCCATTAGGCTCTGCACAAAGAGGGTCACCAAAAAATTACCAAGAGTACATTGGCAAGAGGAGGTATCCAGGGTGCTGAATGCTGGCGAAGAGTTTAGATTCAGCACCTTGGATAGATCACTGTTCTGAAGTGCAGAGCACAATAAAAAATGGATTCACAGCAGCTAAGAAATTGCAGCAAACTTCACAACAGTATAGAAAAGGGTTGACAAGGGTGGGATTCAGATCTAGCCATATCAAGTCCGGTGGATCTCCTCTCCGTTGCCTTCACCCCTTGCCCACCTTATCAACAAGGCCATCTCCATCTGTCCGAAGGCCTCATTGAACTATCATCCTTTTGGTTGAGAGTCAGATGTGCTGCCCTATTGTGTCACAGAGACTGAGGGGTCCTCTTCATTTCTCTCTGTCTGGCCTGAGGTTTCATGGACAGCATGAATCAGAGTTTGGTCAGCGGCCTGAGATTCTCTCTCTCAGCTCCCTAGCCTTCCGTCCCCTGCCATGTATTTCTTTTTTCCTTCTGATGTCAGGAAAGACGAAGGGGACTTGCTTGTCTTTAGTTCCTGGACCTTTCCCTCAGCATCTAGTCCCTGCCTGGCACCAGTCAGAGAAAGGCTCTTCTGTTCAACTTTTTCAGATCTTTACCCAGTTAGCCTGGGGGGAACCTTTCCATTTTGAGGACTAACTGAGAGACACAAGGATGCAAAAAGAAAAGGTACAGGAGGGCGCACACTAGCTGAGACTCGAACCCAGGTCACAAGCTTTTAAAGTTCGCATGCTGTCTCTACACTGATGTGTGCCACCTCCTTCATTGGGGCATCAATTAGGATCCAACCAGACAGGGCGCTTGGAAAGCTCGCATGCTGCCTCTACACTGATGTGTGCCGCCTCCTTCATTGGGGCATCAATGAGGATGGAAGCAGACAGGGTAGGCAGATCTACCTGGATCCCTCTAGAGCTCATTCACTCTACCAGGACTGACCGCTTGGACCGAGAAAGATCAAGCTGCCGCGGGTCTCCCTGGGAGGAAGTCACGATGCGCAGCACAGAACATGTTCCTTCTCATCGCCTGTTGCCAGATGGGAGGACCGGAAGAAACATTTCCTCAAAAGGGTATGAACCCAACAGCTGGCTCAAAGTTTATTGGTCAGGATTTCACTCCATCTTACCTGGTTCAATGCTTCGTTATGTACTGATCAATGGTTGGAATGGTTTTGGATATAACTGATGCTGTACTTTCTATTGTTAGTATGGTTTAACATATTGGGAGCTGCTTTGAGTCTTGCTAATGGGAAATCATCATAATGAAAAGCAAAAGAGATGTGAGCAAGGATTATTAATAAGGAAGGGCTTTGAACTGAATTCTGCCTTGTGCACATCTTGTCTGTCCTTCTCCCTGGTGGTCTAGTGGTCAGGATTTGGCGCTCTCACTACCATGGCCCGGGTTCGATTCCTGGCCAGGGACGGTTTTTCCTCCCTCCCGGAATCAGCAGAAAGGATGGCTGTACCTAGGTGTCTTAAAACAAAGATCTATGGGTCGGCTTTCCAGAAAACAGAGAAGAAGAACTTTTCTCAGAAGACAGGAGGAAGGCATATGGGTCGGCTTTCCAGAAAACAGAGAAGAAGAACTTTTCTCAGAAGACAGGAGGGAGGCAGTGTGGACATGAGGATCTGACCCTCAACCTTTCATAACCTTTGTCCCCTGTTCTCACATCTTCCTTGTAGCTCCTCTAGTTGGACACCAACAGCCTCACTGACTGAAGAACGGACAAGTGGATCCCAACCACATCTATCCCTGGTGGTCTAGTGGTCAGGATTTGGCGTTTTCACCG